AGAAGCTTAAATACCAAGGGAAGGAGTTAGCAGTGACAGCCATCTACAGAGGGAAGGAGGGACAGGGATGTTTGTTTCATTTTGTTTACAATCAGCACATTTAAATACTTAGGGGAAGGAACAAGTGGGGGGGAGGGCAGGATATTGGAGACACCTGAAAGAGGTTAATTGATGAGGCAAGACCCTCACTAAGATGGGAAGGGATAGATGTGAGCAGTATTAAGAAGGCAGAATCAACAGGGCTTTGTGACTGACTAGACATGTGGAGGTCAGAGGAGGAGGAGTTCATTTCCCTAATGTTTTTTACTTCAAGGGAACCAGGGTGAAGTACAGCAGGAATGAACACTATTGCAAGGGTTCAGCTCTGGTTTGGATTGAAATTTAGGAAGACTTAGGTAATAGATATTGTTTAATGTTCAAGAAATATAACATTCTTATTATTACAGTACTATGTCCTAGACCAAGTTATGGCCATCCTATCTTAGAATTGGAGGAAGTGTTGTAGGAAAATACTAGACTTGGAGTCAGAACTGCTAGATTTGCAGCCTCTAAATGACCTTAGGAGAGTTATTTAACATGTTCGACTTGCATCTCCCTTAAATGGATAAATGGGATAAAAACAGTGGCATACCATGGGTAGGGCAGGAGTAGTAGTTTTCCCTGGTGCAGTTGATAAAGGGGTGTGCTGTCTTCAGAGAATTTTAGAACAATACTAAAACCAACTAAAAGTCTTTTTAATATCACCAAGTGCTGACAATTCTAAACAAGGTCAGTGAGTAAAACTATCCCCTACCTTGATGGCCATGGAATCATAATATGCATTTCTGAATGTACTTCAGTATGTACCTGATAGATTGTAAAATGCTACAAAATGTAATTTTTAAACAATTTTCCTTCAAATTCATGTGACTTGTGAGATTCAGAGGGAAAATAATGGTTCCGTTTTTATTTTTATTTTTTTTTAAGTATAGCAAATCTGATCTGCAAAAATTATTTGGTCATACTGAGTTAGTGATAATGCCATTTTTTTTAGGGAAGTGATTTATTTACTACAGAATTCTGTGGAGAATGAGTGAAAAACATCCTCATTGTTTTTGTGTAATAGAGAAATAAAAAACATTAACATGATAGCTTTCCTTTTGGTCAGGTAATTGAATCACAGACCTAATAATAAGGCCTCTACAGACTCTCTGGGTGATAAAGCCAGTTAAATGAATTAATTACTTCAGTTTCTGGATGCTCCGAAATAAAATACTATTACCTATCTCACAAAAGAGTCTACTGAATTCTCAGAGAGCATCACATCTTAGAATATTTTAATGCTTCAGCTATTTTTAGCAGGCTCATAGATAAGTATTAACTAAAAGGAATGCCAATCGTAAGCATTTATTTCATGTTTTAAATCTACCTAGCATGCAGCTGATAGAGTATGAGACTCATTCCATTGTAAGGATTCACTGCTTAATTTCTACTGTATATCTGCATTTTAATAATGTAATAAGCAACCCCTTTTATAAAAGCCCTAAAGATATAGCACAAGTCTGATTACTAGTTGGTCTTCTTAGCATCAGTCTCTGAGACTTCATTACCTGTGGGTATAGACGCTGGGCTTTGCACCACAGAGAACACCCTAGCAGCAGCTGTAACAAAGAAGCTGACTCCAACCCCATCCTTCCCAGGCTATTGTGCTAAGTGTTGAGTACTTTATAATAATCCGTCTCCTTTACATGCTGCTTATAGAGAGGACATTATTCTACTAAAAAAAAAGTGGAAGACAAAAATAATGAGCTTGTAAAGTTCATTGTTAAATTCCACATATTATTCAAAGAGTCTTTAAAACAAAATATGATATTAATAGTAATTACTATAGAGCAATATTTTAAAAGTAACTACTGCTTTAATTTTACCTGATATGTTAATCATGAGAAAAAGACTGAATTTCTGGCATTTTGTATGCTAGACATAAGTGATATTTATACCAAAATACAGTTGCAAATATGAGGTATAATGAGTTTATATTTAGTCACAGGGTAGTATTTTAGAAAGAAAGTTAGTTTATATGTATAATTTGATTATTGGTTTTCACATAATTTAGAGAAAACATTCATTATGGATAATGATTGCTTTAAAAAGAAAGCCCTTAAAATCATGGAAGAAGTCACTTGAGAAGAAATCCATCCCTCAGTGGGTCGTCATCTTCTACTATAAAGCTTGCTGTACCCGTGTAATGGGCTTGTCCTGATACTTCCACTATAACAGCTTTAAAATCACCACATTTCGCTTCCTGAAAAAAGATGGAGTATACTATCAAAATATTGCACTCATATTGTATCTGGCTTGAAAATTGTACTCTTGACTTTTATCATGTGAAGGAATGGCAAGGAAATCCTACAGGAAAGGGAAGGTTTTTAAGGAGAGTGACATGGTCAGACTTGTGTTTTAGATAACTGTAGCTGTAAAATGGGGATCAAACTGGAAAAGAGAGAGACAAAGGACCCAGAAACATGTTAAGAGATAACCTCAATTCACTGAATGATTCCATAGTCACTACGGGAGTTTTTAGTGAAGATGGAGAAGGAGAATATGTACTAACACAGAGACAGTTTGGAGGTAGAACTGATGGGCCTCTTGACCAATGCATGTGGGAACTGAGGACTAGCAATAAGTTAATTATAACCATAGTTTCTAGCTTGGAAATGATGCTAGTGATGGCATTAACCATAATGGGGAGAGAAAGAAAGAGCACATTTGAGAAAGGAAGGAAGGAAGAACTTTTTAACAAGGTGAGTTTGAGACACCTCTGGGACAGTCATTTAGAGATGAGTATAATGAACAGTCGGGATTAAGTGCGTTATATTCCGAAAGACATACAGGGTAGGTAGGCAGGGCAGGGATAAAGGTTTGGGAGTCATCATCAGTAGATGGTTGAAAACTAAAGCCTAGGAAGTGGATGAAATTGCCCAGCAGCATCAAACTGTAGATGAGATGAGAAGGAAGCTGAGGATGAAGTGATGGGAACAACTAAATGGAAGGACAGGGAGAGGAAGCTGGGACAGGCGAAGAAACTGAGAAGGTACCATCAGGGAGCCTGGATAGGCCCACACAGACAGGGAGAGAGCATGATGCAAGTGAAGACGTTCTGGCAAGCATGATCAATATCTATAAAACAAATAACTGGAAACATTAACTTCAGCATATCTTTTTATGTTCTACTTTTTAAAAGAAGAATAACTGAAGCAAAAGGTAAAATGTCAAATATTGTTGGGGTATAATACTTTATCTTTTTATAAAGTTGCTGTAGTGTGACAGGTCCTTCACCAGGTTATGTAAGGATGTACGTGCACTGCTTGAACCCTGAAGGCTAGGGGGGTATGGTGCCCAGCCAAGGAGCAGGTATCCCTGAGAACCCAAATATCCCAGAGAATATCTGGGAACATACCAAGGAAAACAGTCCTATCACATATACACAGTAGGCAAAGAGCCAGAAAATTAGCTTAAAGGCAGCTTAGAGTCAGGAGGCAGGATGGGTCTCCATAGTTGTTCAGCTGCTTCCCAGGAGTGCCTTGTATGGAAGTTCTAATAAATGCATCGACTTGCCAACCTGGACGTGTCTGAGTCATTCTTTGGTCTCTCAGCTCCCTCTCTATTTAGGGGGACATTGCAGTCCCAGATTCTTCTCATAACAGTTCCTATAATATAAAGCCTCATTGACCTTTTGCTCTGACAGCAATATAATGTAATGCTTTGGTCTGTTCAGAGAGACCCACGTTCATGACCTGGATCTGCTACTCACTAACTAACCTCTGGCAAATTACCTAACTTCTCCAATTCTCCATTTTATCATCTATTTAAAAGGATATCAACAGTACAGTACTGACCTTGTAGGATTCTTGTGAGGATTAAATGAGATGGCATCTATCAAGTATTTAGCTTGAAAACTGATGAACAGTGAAGTATCCAATAAATGTATGTTATTATTTTTATGTTCCATTTCAGATTCTGAAGACAGTGTGTTCCAAATTTTTGCATACAACATAAATGGTTTCACATGTCTAAGATTGCTATATGATGTAGAGATCTTTAAGGAAATTCTAATATTGAGAAACACCAAATCTTAAAAACAGCTATATTAGGGTAGATTGTTTGCTATGTTAAAGGGCTCTTTATGAGTAGAATAATTTACTGAATGTAGATCAATCATTCTGTAGTAGATTTCATTTACTACTGAGATTCATTACTTAGCTGTTAGCACATTTAAAATTTTATTCCATTACAAAAATGTGATGTTCCACAACTTTTCAGGGCTTTCACATCTTATTATATCAAATAAAACACTATTATAAAATAAAACAAAAAACAACAAAAAAAACCCAAACCCTGATTTAGTAGTTCTTACACCTTTTGGTCTCAGGACCTTTTTATACCTTAAGATTTGAGGACCCCAAAGAGTTTTTCTTTATATAAGTTTTATCTATCAATATTTACTGTATTAGGAATTAGATATATCTGTTCATTACTTCATTTTAAAAATAAACCCATATTTTTGTGAAAATAACTATGTTTGCCAAAACAAAAAAAATTTATGAGAAAACTGGCAATGTTTGATATTTTTGCAAACTTCTTTCATGTCTGGCTTAATAGAAGACAACTAGGTTCTCATATCTAGCTTCTGTATTCAATTGGTTGGGTTATCATACATCACGTAGCCTCTGAAGAACTCCACTGTACACTCTTGAGAGAATGAGAGTGAAAAGGAAGTAATGTCATTATTGTAAACATAGTTTTGACCTTCTGAACCCATGGAAAGGAACTTAGGGGCCCCCTGGGGTCCCAAGACCACACTGGAGAACCAATGTCCTAGTTGAAAAGAAGTTTTTACAGGCCTGCTTTAAAATTCTCTTCTGAAAGCTGACTGAAGAAATTTATCAAACACCCAACTCAGGCCTCTTCAGTCTCATAAGTGACACATTTATAAATAAGAAGCTAAGGGTGTCACTTACCTTCACAGCTTTTCCTGTGAATACTGAGCCAGTGGTACTGCTTTTGAAGGCTCTGGTCTGGTTCAGTTCCAGAAGCCCTTTGTGATACTGTAAGGCAATTCGGGCTGTCACTCCCGAGCCAGTGGGACTTCTGTCAACCTGTTTCAGAATAAATGAAGATAGAATGTTCATAATGTTTTAGTTCCATATTACCTGGCGTTTGTCCCTAAACATTCGGTTTTAATACCTGTTCATCTGCAAAAACACAAATGTTGGTGGTTGGTTCCTTGGTATAAGCATCTTTTCCATCTGTTAATATGGTTCCATATAAAAAGGCAAGGTCTTCACTATCAGGATGATTAATTTTAAACTGCAGATAACAAAAAAAACAACCACATAAAAAATAAATATTTTGATTCAAATTTACCTTTATAAATAATGCAGATGGGTCATTTTTAGACGTAATGTTTTAATCATCATTTTTAAAATACCGTTTTGGGCAACGTATACTAATTGCTAGAAATTATGTCGTTGTCTAGATGAAGTAACAACTTTATTGGAAGTTATAATTATTATCATACTTTGAGTCCCTTCTAAGGAAGCTGTCCTGCATGTAGCCTTTGCTAAAAAAAAGTAGTCCTATTTTATACACCCCTCCCACCCCAAATACACATAGTCTTTGCAGCACTGACCCCAGGATGGTCAATCCACAGGCTGGTGATGGCTTCTCCAACAGGATGAGCTAAGGCAATCATAGTCTTAGAAGCTTAAGGAGGATAATGTGGGAAAATCAGGCTCTGAGTATCTAGAGCTGAAGTTAATACCAATGATAGAGACAAAGGCTGTGAGAGGACATAACATTCTGTAAGAATGCAGAAGCTATTAGGTAAGAGAAACAATTGGATGAAAAATAGATTTATTGTAGCCGATGAAGTCAGTTGATTCATCAAAAAGCAGTAGATATGCACACAAAGATGCAGGCACTGGCAGGGTAACTAAGTCACTCAATGGTAGATTCAGGTCCAAATGTGCAAAGCTACTTGTTCTTGGAAGTCTAGTTCTTTAACTTTTCCTGGATTTCTGCAAACATTTGTAGTATGACTGAGATAATAGTATAATAGTATAATCTTATACTATAATAGTATAATCTTACTTCCCTTGTATATCCTTGTAATTAGTACTTTCTACTTCCAGTTACATGACATTTAAAGCAATGGAACAGCTTTGGGTTCTTAACATCCAAAGAGTCCATCTGAAACCACGTTAAAGTCTCCTGCAGATTGAATCTTTGTTCTCCATCCTCTTAAAGCGATATGCCCCACCTCCACTATAGCACATTCCAACACAGTGCTCGCTTCCCCCACTGGAGCTAGCTCCTCGAAGATGGAGTTTGTTCTTTCGGATCTAGCATAGTGTCTAACATCCATACAGTATGTTTTGGTAAATGTTTGTTAAAAGAGTGAATGAACGAAGATGAATTTATATTAACTTTAACTCTCCATCCCCATGGCCTTTTCCTAAATCTGCTTCAGCAGTGTGAATGGTCAACAGTTCACAGAGTAATTAATTGTACTGTCTGATACATCAATAATAGAACTTGCCCTCATTTTTCTCAGAATCCTTCCTCCCTCAAAGTCCACCCCTTGCCACCTTGTTGAGTTCAAACTCAAATGAGAAGGACAAAATTACACCTTTTATTAAGATATCCATGACTTTTTCTCTTCAATTCATTAAAAATTAGGAGAAATTATTTTGTGCCAAATTGTTAACTCAAACTATTAGCTGTCCTGCTTAATGGAACAGAAAATTGATGTACATTCAGAGCTTCAAAAGTTACTATCATAATATAATTACACATATTGGTACTGGCAGTACCAGAAAAATAATTTATAATACTGATACAGTATATATTCTCATTTTGTTATTTAAGTTATAAATTATTTTAAAATAAAGCTTCAGAACATAATAATTATTAGTACATTAGACACTATCTTACACAAGTTACTTTTTACTACCAATAAATTCTCACATACTAAACATTCAAATACTGTACATGTGCTTTATTTATAGGTCCCAATTTCAAGGTTAAATGTGCTTCACTTGTGTTAGAAGTGAAAGAATATTCTAGAATTATTTATTATCTAAACTGATTTTATCAAAATAGCTTTCCCAAGTAAAAACTAGAGTTATTTAAGTAGTTATTTGAGTAACTTCTTAGCAATATAGGAAAAAAATAATAGGAATTAATGTTCTCTATGAAATAAGAAAAAGGTTTAAATCCATTTTGTATGCTATATTTTACATTTATTATTTTCAAGTTTTACAGAATGACCACACACATGCATTTAAAATTTGTACAAATCTATAAATACATTTCTACACATTTAAGGAATTAATATAAACTATATTAGTATGTATGTATTATTAAATTTAGTAATTGCTGGGTGTGATGGCTCACACCTGTAATCCCAGCACTTTGGGAGGCCGAGTTGGGAGGATCACTTGACGCCAGGAGTTTGAGGCCAGCCTGGGCAACATAGTGAGATCCTGTCTCTATATAAACACACACACGCACACACTCACACTCACACACAGATTTAGCTGGGTGTGATGGGGCATGCCTGTGGTCCCAGCTACTCTGGAGGCTGAGGCAGAAGCATCATTTTGAGCCTGGGAATTTGAGGTTACAGTAAGCTCTGATCACACCACTGCACTACAGCCTGGGTGACAGAGCAAGACCCTGTCTCAAAAAAATAATATTATCATTTACTGAACATTTACTATCGGCCAGACACTACTCTAAGTCTTTTACATTTATTGACTTATTTCATTCTCACAACCCTACAAAGCAGGTATTTTTAAATTTCCATTTTGCAGACAGGAAAACTGAGGCATATGGAGGTTATGTAACTTGTCCAAAGTTATATATGTTACAAGTGGTAAAGCTAGAATTCATAGAGAGTTTTGCTCTAGAGCAGGGGTGTCCAATCTTTTGGTTTTCCTGGGCCACACTGGAAGAGAAGAATTGTCTTGGGCCACACATAAGATACACTAACACTAATGAGAGCTGACGAGCCACAAAGAATTGCAAAAACTCATAATGTTTTAAGAAGGTTTACGAAATTTGTTTTGGGCCACTCTCAAAGCCATTCTGGGTTGCCTGTGGCTCGCAGGCCATGGGTTGGACAAGCTTGCTTTGGAGGCTAAGATTTTAATAAGTACCCTATTCTTAGTACTACTAATAAGTTAAACACCATTTAATTTTCTTTATAGACCTAACAATGTATATTTCCTCCATGCCACAGAGAAGGGCATTGGTCATGAAAGCAGAGTAATACTGACCTGAGCTTTCACTGCCTCTGTTACTGTACTCGCTGCATCCACAAGGTCCCTGGTCTTTGCAGAACAAATGTCTAGTCCTAACTTTTCAGCACTAACAAATGCATAAAATGCACCGCCATATGCAATGTCCACCACCACCTTTCCATGTCCGGGAACGTCCACCATGAGATCTAAAAAACAGATGTGTTTGGAAATAAGATGTGTTTGTTAATAAGTATTTTAGCAACAAAATTCAAAGGATTTTTAATATGTTTATTTTTCAAGAAGGATGTTCTTTTCCTATCATAAAAATAATGAAGTAAAAATCAATTTTTTAAAATTAGTAAGCATCAAGTGAATAATAGCTAGACGCATCATTCTATTTTCTATTTTAACTTGATGATTGCAGAAGTTACAAACTGAATGCCATGCTTTCCCTAACTCATACAGACATATTCATTAACTTCTCTGAGGATCTTTTCTAGGAAACACCACTGAGACCGAGAGAGGGAAACCCAAGGGCATCCCTGTGAACACTAAGAAGGAAAATGTCTATTCCCCACTTGTACTATGAGAGATGGTTTAAAATAGTAAGGATCTTGGATCCTATTTACAAATCGGTTTTCTTCAGTTGTAATGTCAAAACAAAAATTGTTAAAGATCTACATAAATTATATATACTTATCTACATATTTTCATCTCATTAAGGTATCCTGCAGGCAAACACACAGAAAAAATGACATTGTAGAATCATTGACCGCTACAGCATCATCTTGCACCAGGGTTTTTATTTGAGCATTTTAAGTCTCAACATCCCCAAAGTTTCACCTGAAGATCAGTAGTTTGAAATCTTGAATCTGTATTTCCAAAGAAAGGGGGCTGGGTGATGTTTATTTCCCCTCTTCTCAAACTTTCCTCTTTTCCTCTTCCCTAATTTAAGCTGGCTTGTTGATCACTGTCTTTCAGGCAAGCCTATGGCAGGGGAGAAAGTTTGTCTTTCATGTTTTTATTTTACAGAAGCCTAAGCTCTAAGGGAAAGACATCTGTTGGCAAAGGAGTGTCCTGAAGGTAGAAATATTTCTCCTAGAGATACATTTTTTCTGCCTTGAGAAGAGTGGAGGCTGAAGGTCCTTAGTGCACAGAGGACTTGTGTTAACTTCCGTAGGGCAACACAGGAGCAGGACGTGAAGAAAAGAGGACGGGGAGGTGGTGCAGAGGGCATGGACCAGGTGGGGTGGGACAGCCAATGCTGCTGCTCCATTTCGCTGATTAACTGTGTAAGCTGAGGACTGAAGTGCCATCCTCTCCAAGGCCACAGCACTTTTAAGAAACCTTGGCTCACACATATCAGGAAAGGGGACAACACATGGAGTGATGAGGCTAAGTGAACCAAAAGGACAGAGTAGGGTTTCAATTTCAGAAATTAAGTTTTGGGAAAGAAAATATGTCTTGTGTTCCTGAGTTTTCATGCTAAGTCACACAAAGATACCAGCATGCTATCAGTCCACAGAAGGCTATCAGTATGCTGTCAGTCCACACTAGTCCACAGAAGCCCTTTTAACCCATGATGTGTTAAAACAGAGCAAGTTTATCATCAAAAGAGTAAAACATGCTGTGGATTGTAACAACAAAACTGAATCAAAAATGTCTTTATCTTGATGCTGGTGCAACAAGAAAAGCAAGTTTAATGAAAAGAGAATGGGGAAGTAGATAGAAATGAGAGACTGCTGGAAGGTGGAGAGCTAAGGTGAGGGTGCAGATCAGCATTTACCAGGAGACCCAGGTGACGGTCCCGGGGCTCAGTCTGCCTGCCCTCTTCTCTTGATTGTAACACCTGAATGGGGCATTGGCCCCCAGTCAAGGGGCCAGGATGGAGTTGGGAAGCTGGTTCAGGAGAAGTCATCCCTGAGCCTACAATCATTTCCCTGGCCCACCCTTTCTAGAATCTTGGGTCTGGTTTTCTCAGGGTGGGCAGTTGGGTAGGGTGCTACACCTCACTGAGTTTTGGTTTCCTTTTCTTTAAAACAGACCAAATTTCCTTTAAAGTTACCCTTGTCCATCAACTATCTGTGATTACTTCATTTTTTAATCACTAAATTACTAAAATTAAAAATTAAGATATTTATTTCACCCCTGAGTACTTCCTATGTGGCAGGTCTTTACATATACTAACCACTTAATTCATTACATTAGCACCTAGTTACTACAGCCCTGAGAGGTAGGTACTGTTTTACTTACTATCCTCACATTATTCCCTGACTTACCCACCAAATAAGTGGCAGAGCTTGGGGTCAAACCCAGGACCAGGTGACTCCAAAGCCCAAACTCTTTCTACTAAAATCACAACCTCTATCCAGAATGCAATCCAAAGTCTAAGGGTTTTTCTTTTCTTCTATACAAGCATATCATTGAAATTTCAATTTGATTTACTTTGCTTAAGATTTAGTGAGAACCTACTATGTGCCGATGACTGTGGAAGATATAAGAAGTACAAGGAAGAATAAAACATAGGCTTTTCCCTTCTTGGAGTTTAGTTGGACAAGATAGATTTTAAAAGACGCTGTATCTGTGAATGAGGTGTGATACACTAAGCAGTATTCCAGAAATTGAAACATATCTCCTTAAACTACAAAAAATTTTAAGGATGAGAGCCAAGCAATATGATAGGTCAGGGTTCCAACCCTAGTTCTGCCATTTAGTATGTCTTTGGTGTCTTGTGCAAACTGTAACTGCTATTTCTCCTAAAAGAGTTGTTTTGAAAATTCCATGTGTGGGGAGTTCCTGGCACAGATTAGGGACTCGAAGGCCAAAAACTTTAATTTCCAATGGGAATAGGTTTCTCAAGAGGACCAGATGTTTACATTTGTCAATCAGCATATTCTTCTCCAAATTTCATTTATTTAATTACTCATTCAACAAATATTCATTGACTAACTACTCTTCCAGGGACCTAGAATACTGTGAACAAAAAAGAGTTTGCATTTTAGCCCGGTGGGGTGGAGAAGAACTCAGCAACCCTCCGAGGTGGGTACTATTGTCATCCTCATTTTACAGACTGTGATACTGAGGTATGAGCTCTAGCACAAGGTCACTGAGATGGGGAGAGGTGGGGCAGTGACCTTGAACTCTATGTCTGCCTTGTATGCATTTTTCAAAGTAGAGAACATAGCATTTCATTTTCTTAACTCAGTTACCATTAATGCCCATTAATTATTGTACTGTCACACACTGATGCTTTCAGGAACTACTGAGAGGAACTACTGAGGTCAAGTGGTTGACTGACCCTGCCCTAACTGACCCAGAAATGTGATGTAGTTCGTGTTCTTGCTGCCAGCTGCCATTTCCCACAGAAGTCTAGAGTGTTTCTAATCTGCTGCTGTAGTTGCCTGCGGGGAGTTCTGGTAACCACGCTAGTTAAACTGTTGAGGTTTTAAAAATGGAATCTTAAACATAAATTCTGTCTCCCTCAAGTGGCCTCCCAATCTGGAAGTGACACCATTCTCTGGGAAAATGGCATCAATTTCTCCAGAGGCATTCTTCGTTAACTTGTGGGTTTCAGCTGCCTGAGGTTGCTCTAAAAGTGCCTGTTTTATTACTTATCATTCATAATCAGGCTAATCTGAAACCTAGTTCTTCAGGGGGAATCAAGGTCCAACTTTCTAACAGATGACTTGCATGGCTTGAAGATTTTTAAGAGAAGGATAACTCTATTCCTGGTAAACTGGCTCCTGGCTCACTTCCAGTCACAACGACTAAAGCATTCTTACTGATAGACTGCGGCCCCCAGGAGGTAGTATTCAGATGAGAAACCAGATGCCAGCTTGCCAGGTCATCCCCATGAGGGATCTCCCTCGTGTAAGGGTTATGGTTATACAGAGGCCCTGCTTTACATAAGCTGTACAAGGATCTGTACTAGGGAATCCAGCAAAACCTTTTAATGGCACAATAGGCCTAGGGAACTTTAGCAATCATATACCTTGCAATCTATCTCCAGGAATACAGTATCTTGCACACTCTCATTTAATCCTAACAAAAACTCTACGAGGTAAGAAACAGGCACAGAGAGATTAAGTAATTTGCCTCAGGTTGCACAGCTTCAGGGGGTTATCAGGATTTCACACCAGGCAATGTGTGTTCCTGTTCTTAAAGAAAAGCAACATTCGTATCTTAATGATTTATAAACTGCTTTGTTCATTCCTTCTCATTTAATTCTTCCTCAAAGAAGTGGGGGAGGTGAGGAAAGGAGACCAGGTTTAGTAACTTACTGTGATTCTGTGTCTACCAAGCATATTCTGAGCCAGCCTGGAACCCTGGTACATTGGCTGTTCTTCGCTCTTTCCTTGACCCTGACCGTACTTTGCTTTACCCACCGGTGAAATCTCTAGGAACGCCTCACCAGTGCAGGAGGCATTGAGTCAGGGTAACACGGAATTCCTCACTCATCAAGGGTCTCTCAAAACCTCAGGCGGACGGGAGTCAGGGAAAACAGAAATTGCACGCACCAAGCAAATACGCAAGACTGCTGACACACGTTCGCAGTGATTTATCTTTTTATTAATTGCAAGGGCACGCGGGATGGGTTAGTTGCGAGAGTTCCAGCCTAGAAACACCGTTAATGTTGTTAGTTGCGTCCCGGTTGCAGCTCCGCCCTGGGCTGGAAAGGTCCCGCCCGTTACCTGTTGCCAGCACGAAGGCCGGGACGCTGTGGAAGCGCACCGGGCCGTGGCTGCGGCCGTCCTCACACGCCACGAAGGCGGTCACCAGCCCACACGGGCAGTGGATGTTGACGCGGGCCTCGCGGGTGCCCGCAGCGGGCGCCGGCACAAGCCCGAAGTCCAAGGCGAAGCGGCCCAGCGCCAGCACTGCGTGGCCGCACATGGAGCTGTAGCCCTCGTTGTGCAGGAACAGGACGCCCAAGTGCGCATCCGGCAGCTCGCTCGGCACTAGGACCGCCCCGTACATGTCCCGGTGCCCTCGGGGCTCGAACATGAGCCGTCGCCGCACGTGGTCAAGGTGCTGGCGCATGTAGCGCCGCTTGGCCAGCAGGGTGGGCCCGGACACCTCCGGACACCCAGCCAGCACGATGCGCAGGGGCTCGCCGCCCGTGTGCATGTCCACCACCGACAGCACCGGCGTCCCCGGATCTTGCGGGGGCAGCCGGGACACCGCCAGCGCGCTCTCCATGGTCTGCGTCCGGGAACACAAGAACAGTCCTGCAGCGATGGCTTCAAGCCCGACCCCTACCCACTGACTCCTGGCGAGGAGGGCGGGACGCGAAGCAGCCACCCCTCGTGGGGCGGGACATCGGAGCCTAAACCCGGAAGTGGGGGAGGAACTTCGGAGCGGTTGCCCAGGTTACTGGGAGGCGGAGCTGCCGAGCTCGCTGTGGCCCGGATGTTCGGTGCAGCTGCCAGATCCGCTGGTCTAGTGCTTCTGGAAAAAAACCTTCAGGCGGCCCATGGGTGAGTGGTCGCCAAGATCCCGGGAAGTCCTGGTTGTTTCTGGTAGTCCTGGTTGCTTTCCTACACGGCTGGCCTCGGGCTCGGCTCTCTGTAGGCGGCCTTCAGCTGGCGGCGCAGGCTCGCCCCTTGACCCCGCCCGCCCTCGGGCCGGGCCCCGCACTCTTGCCGGGTTGGGGTGGTCTCTGTCCCCGACGGGCTGCCAGGGGAGGCGCGCTGTGTGCGGCGGAAAGGCCAGGTCTTTGTTGTTTGGTCCGAAATGTCCCTTCAGTCCCTTAGTTTAATGTGAAGGGAACACTTGCAAGAGGGTTGACTTCAGAATTGAAAACGCGGGTGATAGTGCAGAAAAAACTAAAGCAGAAGCAAGTTGCTGCATAATTTGTCTCCTGCTTCAACCTCAAAGGTAGATTTGTAGGGCCCGTCACAAAGGGGCAAGACCGCTGCAAAAAAAATAGAATCTTAAAACTTTAACCATCGTTCACTAAAGGAAATGAAAGGGGATATTACACAGTCACTTGGCGCCTGGGTTTTGTTTAGTAGGTGATAGGCTGTTTATTTCAGTTCAGTTTTATCATACTGGTTTTCAGGCCTTGGATTTTGAGAAACTTTAGATTATTGCTATTCACATGTATTTATTAAGCATCTACTAGATGTAAAACCCATACAGAAGTTTCCAATTCCTTAACTTCTGCATTCTTGAAAAACCTGAAACATAATTCATTTTCATGTATTAATTTAGAGCATTGTGATTACAATTGATTACAAAAAAAAGGGCCCATTAAAGAGGCCAATGGGTTTAAAAAGCTAAGTCCGAAATTTGTTAAAAGCGAAAATATTAAACTTGAGGAAATTTTAATCAATGCTGCTTCTCTTTTTATCTCAGCAGCATAAGGAGAAGGAAATAAAAAGTCTACTTGAACGTGAAAGGAGAGAGGGCAATGTAGACCAGGCAGTCTGGATTGTGAATCCGTGAATAATTTGGAAACGATTGTTCAAGAATAGTCAAAGATGCATACTTTTTCAAATTAATTCACATGTAGACCACAGTTTGTTTGTTTGTTTTGAGAAGGAGTCTCCTTCTGTAGCCCAGGCTGGAGTGCAGTGGCGCGATCTCGGCTCACTGCAACCCCCACCTCCTAGGTTCAAGCGATTCTCCTGCCTCAGCCTCCCAAGTAGCTGGGACTACAGGCACGCCACCACGCCTGGCTAATTTTTGTATTTTTAGTAGAGACGAGGTTTCACCGTTTTGGCCAGGCTGGTCTCGAACTCCTGACCTCGTGATCTGCCCACCTCGGCCTCCCAAAGTGCTGGGATTACAGGCGTGAGCCACCTCACCCAGCCTGTTTGTTTTAATCCACATTAGATTGTAGGGTTTTGGCAGGAATTCTGTTTCTCCTTGGACTTTTAGTGGCCCCTAACCAGTGGAATCAAGCTCAGTATATGTTTATTGGATGAATCAATGAATGAATGAAGGGAATCAGATGTCACTGATGAAGAAAACTCCTTCCATAATTTCTTCTTGTGAATAAGGTCAAAGACAACGTATTAGGTTCTTAGTTGTTGGGTTTTTTTATGTAAGGAGTAGCAGCTTTTCCCCTAAGCCTTTAGATCAGGGGATTAATTTTAAGGCAGTGGTTCCTAAATATTTGCCCAGTGACAGCCTTGATGAAATTTTCACTTATCCTCCACAAAAATGATAAAAGCTAGGACAAAGTAGGAAGCTTTTTATAAAGGTAATTTATGTACCTCTGTTCTGAAATTATGTTCTCTGCCTTTCCCATGTGAAAATGTGTTCTGTTATGAACATAGATGACAATTGTATGTCTACATGTGGGTGCCTAATGTCCTGACTGGGCAAAATAGAAGCTGGTGACCCTCTACTGGTGCTCTAATTTAAAAATATATGTATATTTGAACTTTATAGTCAGTGAAACTCAAAAGTATCCTCTGATCGTACCGGGTTGGGCCTTGAGTCCTGGGGATAGATCCTGCTCTGCTGGTTGAGGACCTTAATCATAAGGCACAGTATTAACAGCAAGGTTCCAGGATAACTGTCTGCAGTGTCACAGTGTAAAAGGAGAAATTTAAATTTAAAAATGCTTGAAGACTTTTGTCTAATATGTGTTATTTAAAATTTTGAAACTGTTATTTCTGCCAAGTGCTTCAGCTATTATTGCATTTTTTTAAATAATCACAAAAGATGTTACTATACTGGCATTTGTTTTTAAAAAGCTGTCGATATCCAACCAGCATGCCTTGGACTTTATTGTGGGAAGACCCTATTATTTAAAAATGGCTCAACTGAAATATATGGAGAATGTGGGGTAAGTGTTATGTTTGTGTCTTATTTCATTTTGTAAAATCTGTTTGCTTTTGAAATATTTTCACATGTAGAATATTTTTTCTTATTATACTCACTAATTTATAAAAGAATATGGAGGGCCAGGCGCAGTGGCTCATACCTGTAATCCCAGCACTTTGGGAAGCCGAGGCGAGTGGATTACTTGAGGTCAGGAGTTCGAGACCAGCCTGACCAATATGGTGAAACCCCGTCTCTGCTAAAAATAGAAAAAAATTAGCTGGGCATAGTGGTGTGTGCCTGAAGTCCCAGCTGCTCGGGAGGCTGAGACAGGAGAATTGCTTGAACCCAGGAAGTGGAGGTTGCAGTGAGCCAAGATCGCACCACTGCATTCCAGCCTGGGCAACAGAGGGAGACTCCATCTCAAAAAAAAATAAAATAAAGAAATATAGGCCGGGCGCAGTGGTTGAAGCCTGTAATCCCAGCACTTTGGGAGGCCGAGTCGGGCGGATCACGAGGTCAGGAGATCGAGACCATCCTGGCTAACCCGGTGAAACCCCGTCTCTACTAAAAAATACAAAAAACTAGCCGGGCGAGGTGGCGGGCGCCTGTATCCGGAGGCTGAGGCAGGAGAATGGCGTAAACCCGGGAGGCGGAGCTTGCAGTGAGCTGAGATCCGGCCACTGCACTCCAGCATGGGCGACAGAGCGAGACTCCGTCTCAAAAAAAAAAAGAAATATAAAAGATTATGGAGACATTAATGTAGTCATTGTTTATGTTGGCATTTTGATGTCTATTATTTTTTAAAACATTTAATAATTTAATAATTTCTAATTTATGATTTAGTACCATGTCTTGTACAGTAAGTTGAACATCATGAATCCAGAACATTTATCTGCAATTATTCTTATATAATGTTAATAACTAGGTTTTTCATTGAATGTTAGTCAACTATTTTAGTAACTTAGTAAAAGGAATCTTTTAAGAGCATTGTACATTGTACAAATATAGCACATACAATATAGATTTCTTTTTATTTTACTTATGCCTTTTTTAGTTCTAAAAGCTGCACATGTAAACTTAAATATTTAAACTGAAATGGGATGTCTTATAGAATGATTTGGGGGGGTGTTAATATTCTAAAATAATATCTGTACACAAAGTACTGGTTTTATATATTGTAGGTATGCCCAAGAGGACAGAGAACGAATGCACAGAAATATTGTCAGCCTTGCACAGAATCTCCTGAACTTTATGATTGGCTCTATCTTGGATTTATGGCAATGCTTCCTCTGGTTTTACACTGGTTCTTCATTGAATGGTACTCGGGGAAAAAGAGGTTAGCACATTTCTATGACTGTATCTGGCTGGACTAATGTTGGAATAATTATCACTCAGAAGACCTTATTAAGTAATTCTGCCTCTTCTGTTTTAAAAGTGGTAAACATGTTTTTCCTTTATCTTCAGATTATTCTTAACTGTGACAAGAAAACTTAACAATAGGGCATGACTTAGTAATTTTTAAGGGAACTGTCCTTAGTCCGTTTTACTCTCAATGATCTTGAAGGAATACTTTTTTACTTCTCAATTATAATCCTTATTGGTTTTCTACACAAAATTGGTTATGATGACAAGCTATTTATTGTTATGGACCACATTCTTTGTAATTTAATTTAATACTAATAATCTAGTATGATGTAGTTAGAAACGATATAGCTGTAACCTAATACAGAAACTCATATTAACATATTAAATCAGCACACATTTACTAAGCACTGCATTTTATGTTTGAAATATCAGGGAAGAAGATATAAAAATAACTGACATGGCTTATAGTCATAATCTTGTGGAGAAAACAAGTGTGTACATAATTATAAATCAGTCTTAGAAATGTAGTAGAAGAGTTATAAACAAAGTACTCTGGAGTTACAAAGAATGGAGAGATAAATTATGCCTGATAGGATCTGAAAGATTTCAAAAAAAGAACATTTTAGGCAGAGGAAACATCATGAATAATGGCATAGAGGTATGAACTATGTGATCTGTGGTAGGTAGGAATGGAAGTAATCTGGGGTAGTCAAGAGTGGGTTGCAGATGAAGAAAAGTAATATAAAAGGGAGTAGGAAAGATAGGTTGGGGCCAGAATGTGAAGGTTCTTGATAAGCATGTGAACTTTAATCTGCTGGGAATGGGAAGTCAAATTCTGTGTTAGTACATTAACCATACTGGTTTTCTTTTAGTTCCTCCAACTGCTCAGGATCTTTCCTATTTTAGGTTCTTTCCCTTCCTCCAAACTCTTTCCACTGTCTGAAATACTCTCTTCTTCATCTGACTGCAACTTGTTACCTAGCTACCTTCTTTTCCTTCTGATTTCAATTTAAAAGTCACTCAGAAAGTTGAGTGCTTAAAACAAAACAACAACAACAACAACAAAACAAAGAGTGCTATTAAAAGAGAAAAATAAGGAAGACAGCTTACTTTCTATGCTTTCCTTCTAGGCCTCTAGGCCTGTGGTGGGACAGGCAGTCTGAAAGACTTCTGAAATGCCTTCAAGGCCTTTTTTTCATTGTCTCGGCTGTTAGCACTTGGCTCTCTTTTAGCCATGCTAA